TGTTGTGTCGCATGTTTCGAATCTTAAGGTTATGAAGAGTTGTGTCATTTATCCATCACGAACCTGAATATATTTACAATGATGTTCTCACAAATGTTTCATTACTTACTTCAAAACGATTCAATATTAGTTAATGCTGAAGTACGATATTTGTACAAATATAAATATTTGATTACAAATGTAGATATGGTAAAAAGAAAATAGAGGGATTTTTTAATTTTCGTTCTAAAAATATTGAATGGACAACGATTAAGATATCCAAGTTATTAAATTATTCAAACAAAATTTTCAAAAATGATATACTGTAGCAACCTATCACTGTTTCACACATATACACACATGCAAAATCACTACTCTATCTCAAAAAATGTCTTACCATCTTTCGAATCACCGTTTCCTCTTTCCGCACGGTCCACACAGATCGCGATCGATCCCTGGAAATCCGTCATTCGAATTAACCGAAGTACTTTGCATGAGATCAACGTTTCGATTAAGTAAATTAATAAACACCGTCGCTCGTGTAGATGAAAGTGTCGTACAACCGACGGAGATACGTTCTTTGTACTCTCTGATAGCTGGCGCGGCTGATGAACGTGGGATTCATCGATGAATCGTGAACATCTCTGGCTGTCAACGCTCGACGATGCGTGTATGCACTCTCGGGAGGTCGTCTCATTCGTCTCCGATGATCGTAGCCGTCACGCGTGGAAGGTTGCCTCCTCGGTGATGTCACCTGTACAGAATATTCAATTTCATCGTTCCGTTCTGCCGGACCATTAATTTCCAAACCTGCCTCCGGTGTAACCACGCCCGATGAATATTCAGCGGTATTCGTCGGTTGATTGGTTACGACGGAAGCAAGACACTAGGCTCGTATCGCTCGTACTTCGTTCGAACTCGATGGGTTATTGCTTGGTTGTTCATCCGCGTCGCATCCTTCCAGGTTCGAGTGCACTCTAATGCTCATCAGTATCTGACGCTTTTTGTTCCCTACTTGAAACTCGGACAAGATCTGCGTGAGGATCGTGTTCGACGTTTGCATTTGCACGCTCACGTTCGTTCTCTTGCCATCAAATTCTCTCGATAACTCGATCGGTGCTGTGGGATCTACTTCGTCAAGATCCGGGATTGCCGTTATGGTCGATGGTGGCGCTTCTTCTTCTTCTTCTTCTTCTTCTACGATGGGTTCTGGCACGCCCACTGCGGAATCATCTGGTTCGGTAGTTTCGGGTACTTCACTGACTGTCACTTCAGGTAATGCTTCTTCCATAGGTGCTTCTTCGACAGAGATTTCTTCTATGGGTGCTTCTTGCGTAGGTATTTCTTCCATAGGTGCTTCTTCTATAGGTATTTCTTCTGTAGGTGCTTCTTCTATAGGTACTTCTTCTGTAGCTGTTTCTTCTGCCGTCGTTTCTTCATCCTTCTCAGATGTTTCTGGTATAGATTCTTCTACAGTATCTTCAGTCACAGGTGCCGCAACATCTCTTTCTGCAGGTTCTTCGATCGACTCTACGATCGCTTCAGATACATCCTCAGCTTCACCTGGAGATATCGTATCTTTCTTCGGGACGCACGTACACATGTCAACTACTTGACTAGGTATGTCCTTTACCGATGTACATATTATACGAACTTCTTTAAGGAGCATACATTGAACAGCTTTGCCCGACAGTGGCGACTCTGGATCCATTCTTTCGTCCCTCATGTTGGGATTATTTGTCCCTGTTCTAAGACTCATTTCGGGCTTTGGAGATTTCGAAGAATTATACTTTGGATTTGACGGAGGTTTCTTTTTCGGCGAGGCGATCTGTTTTTTCGATGTCTTTGGTTCTTCCTTGGCAGGCCTACTTTTTCCATCGTTTTCCACCCCTTGTTTCACAGTTTTCACTTTCTTTCGAAATGCCGTACTCTCCGCGACGTAAGGGCCATTCGCAGGATTGACGACCGCGCGAATGGAACCGGTTTGAACGCTCACGTCTATAGATACGGTGGATCTTTCCGTCTGCTGGTCTTGGGGCGTCGACGAGTTTTTCTGTTGCTGTTTAACTATTTGACTCGCCGAGTTGGAATTTTCACGATTGCCATGTGCGCCTGATTGTCCTTCGCGTTTGCTCGAATTCGGCTGTTTCCTTTTCTGAGGGGAGATGTCACCGCCACCCTTTTTGCGAGCAGTGTCGTACGTTGGATACCACAGTTCTTCAAGCGGTGTTTTGTTGCAAGGATTTTCATAAAAGTGCCACTTCCTCCCCGATTGAATCTGTTCTTCAGCCGCGTTGCGAGTACGTTTCCAGCAATCATCTGAAAACAGATCCTGAACTTTGTAGGAAACCACGATTGGGATTAGTCAGCGAAAATGATCGTGATACGCGTGAGAAATTTAAAAATACGAAATATTCGGATTTATAGAAGCAGCCGTTTATTTCACGTTACAAATTACAAAATGATAATTTGGAGCTACATTGTAGATACTTCACTGAATTAGGCATGAATTTAACCCTCACACTGCGTCCGTAGGCGATTCTTTTCTGAGAACTGCGATTACAAATTCCTTTTTATGTGTACCCTTAAAAAAAAAAAAAAAAAAAAAAAATGCCAGTTAAGGAGACTAAGCGAACGTGTTTAGTAAGATACGAGAGAAAAGAAAAAGAAGAAAAAAACGAAACAATTGATCGTGTAATTGATAGAGATTGTTGCGCGTGCAATGTGAGGGCGTCACGAGAGTATTTTAACGTAGAAACGTACTTCGACACATTTGACAGTCAGGCAATCCAGCGTCGTTGTCGCAACAAACGTTTCCGCAACAATGCGTGTCGCAGTTGTTCGACTCGTGGTTCATTATTTCTCGCCAACACGTTGCCTCGTACATGCATTCATTGTGTGTTTCCGATTGATCGCATTGATCGGGTCGCGCAGTTTCCTCGCAATCTTTTGTGCACGTCCCGCACGTGGAACGATCCCTCACGTTTTTCTTCGAGCGTTTCAACTTCGACGACTGTTTCACGATCTGGCCGATGCTCGTCGTCGCCATTCGCACGAAATTTTTGTACGTATCTTGCAACTGTCTTCGAAAGTCGTTCAACAACGAATGCTCGTTCGTTTCGCACTGTTGGCTGCAACCTGTCGTCTTTCTCTTTACGTACATGTCATCCTCCGTCTGCGCTCTACGAAATGTGTGCGAAATTATTGAAACGCCGTGACATAATGCGGGAAAAGATGTTGAACCAACGTGGTTCATAATAAGTAGTTTGTTAACTAATATTTAAGTAATTAAGGAAAACTGAACTGGCGATGACAGAGATTTCTCTATATCTGCACGACTCGCTACAATTTTACCCTTAAATCTCTGTCTTTGTACACACACGCATACGAAAACTCTTGAGGGCTTAAACTAGGGCTTAGCTGTAATAGGTTTCCAAAAAAGAAATTTAAATAAAAAAAAAAAAAAAGAAAAGAAAAAGACTAGGCAAACAGTTCCAAGTTTAATCTCTTTGCCTCGCTCTTAAGCCGCATAGAAAGAAACTCCGAACAATGAGACTTTCCGCATCCCACAATAATATAATTGATAAAAAGCACGAATTTCCAACTTTCACGAATAAATTCATAATCTGATTTCGTAGCAGACCTAAAGCACTCGGAGGAAAATCACCTGGAATCCCGAAGTTCATGAAAGCTAACGTTGGATTGCGCCAACAGCTCAGGGCAGTACGGTTCCTCGAGCATCTGCTCGACGGTGTAATCATCGAGCTGCACGTCCATGCTGTTCGAGTAGGCGCGTCCCACGGCATCTGGCTGACCTTTGCAACTGGAACTACACCTCGTCGGTTCGTTCCTCTTCGATCCGCTACGACCTCTCGACGATTCGAACTTGCTCCCTCTCGCAGTTCTGGATTCCTTCCTCGAGGCGTCGCCTTTCAACAATTCCTCCGTCGACTCGTCGCAACGGGCGGACGTCAGGTTGCACACGTCCGCCACACTCTCGCCGATCTCCACGAACAAACTTGCCTTGGACGGTGTACACTTCCTCGAGCAGAACGAGCACGAGGAATGATCGGTTTTCGCGCGGCTTTCCGCTTTCGCAAAGTGGACGCGTTGCAGGCAGTGTTTGCTGGTAGACGCGTGACGATCATCGCAGTTTGCCTCGGTCTCCTCGTAGATCACGCAAGACTGTTGAGGCACGCTGACGCTCGAGGAGTATGGTTTTACGTCGCGCGGACAGCAACAATCGTCGAGGCAACCGTTCTTCGGGGAGCCGTCGTTCTGCCATTTTTCATACGAGCTGCAGTCGTTGCTCTGCATTCGCACGACGTACGGCTCGCAGTTTCCGCAACAGTTCTCGAACGTGCAACGGAAGTTTGAAGGATGGCCAACTAAGGTTTGTTCGCACCTACACGTTTAATTCGAAGCGATTACTACGTTAAGTTAAAAGCCTTTTGTTCCTGAGCTGCGGAATACCTGCTCGGTTCTTGCTTTCTAGATCTCCTCGGTTTGCCGTTGTTCGCGGAAAAGGACTTTCTTCGTTTCTGATCTGGCTTCGAGTTGTTGCTAAAACAACACAGTGTTTTCCGTATCAGGAATTTTTAGCTTTTAGCAACTGGAGTGTGGGCATGTGACAGAAAATAAAGCAGAAAATCTTTCTCTTACGATCAGTCGCACGAAGTGAAACGAGGTACTCACTTGTCGTAGCAATGTTTAAACGAGACGTTGTACGTCGGTTTCTCTATGTGAAAATTCTCGTGGCAGGGTGGCTGTCGCGAGACGACGCTCACGTTTATCCCGCTGTTGCGGTTCAAGCACGGATCGTTAGACGTACTTGCGTCGCAGTCGATCGCGTCTCTTCCGTAATTCTCGCAACGTGGCTCCAACTGCCCGATATGCTCCAAAATATTTTGCCCCGTGAAATCGCACGCGTTCCTGTCGGGACAGTTTCCCTGGTAGCTCGAGCTCCCTCTCCCGTGCTCGCACATTTCCCCGTAATTTTCTCCCTGGTGGTTAGCTGGCAGCCTTCGATATCGCTGATTCCGGTGAAAATCCCGCTCACCGTCGTCCCTCGCCGACTCGTTCGATCTTACCGGTCCGATTCCCTGCTTCTTCTGCCTCTCGTTTGTCCAACGCTGGATTTTTTCCACCTCGCGGCCGTCCGGCTGCGTGTTCCACTGCGATTCTTCCGATCGATCGCGTTGTTCGTCCGCGTAAACGTTCCCGTGAACGTTGAAATCCATCAGGCGGCAGCCCCCGCTGAAATCTACCGACATGCGCCGCGTTTATTTCGAGCTGGTGTGCGATTATCGAACGGCTGGACGATCATAGTGTATTACCGGTATTATTGAGCTACGGCCAAAGGGCACGCACAAATGGTCGGTAATCTCTGAAATGAATTAATCGAGGGGTCGATCGCGATCACAGAGAGCGACTGGAGAACGCTCGCGGCCGATAGGCTAAGGGTCGATCGCTTCGATTGTCAGCTATCGTCGATCCCTGCCTCTGCTTTTTAGCGCATTATTATCAATCTATGCCACGATTACGCCGCCGCGATCAATTCACCCGGGTTCATTGCGTCTGCTGAAATGTGTAACGTGATCTGCAAATGTTTATACGTTAGTGTCAGAGAGAAATACGCGTACGTGGTACGTTCGATTATTGAACGAGGATGCATCCGTTGTCGGAAAATTACAGCGCGAGATACGCGTGGTTGGTACTCAAAAATTATGAGAATCGTGATACGAATCGAAATTTCTCTTTTTTTCTTTAATATAGCTGAAATTTCACATTTCGTTTCTGAAAGGTGTGTTGCGTCTTTAGTTTTGCAACCGATCGAGTTGTCAAATCTTTGCCACGGCATGCTTTTGTGATCTACATCGAAAGATAGAAAATTTCGATTTTTACGATTAGTACGATTCTCAATCATCCACATAAACGCCTAGACACTTCAAAGTTGGTATCTGGAAGTTAAAATGAACAAATAAATAAAATAACGTAACGACACATTGAACAATGCCGCGTCGGAGAGTGTCGTTGTGACAAACTCGACTACTCCAATTCTTTCCCAGTCTCCAGTTTCACACGTTTGACTCGTGCAAATGTTTCCGTTCACTCGAAAAAAAAAAAAAAAAAAAAATTTTT